CTATTTGGGTCCCCACAGCATTTTGTAGTATGTTACTAAATTGATGCTGGTTGTGTCTCCTTGTTTATTCACTACCGATAAAGAAATAGGGCACATTAAAGCACTGCCTGAAGTTTCGTAAGAAGGATGCCATTGGTTATGATCCATAGCAATTTCAAATCCACAGTCTACTAAATGTTGCTCCTATGACCTCGTCATTTAATGTTTCTCCTCTAAGCATATCTTCTGTAATTATAGCTGGCTTTATTAGAACTGGCATGCACACATGCAAACACAAAAAATCAGCAGGAAAAGGGATAGAAATAAATTTGAGACTTTCAGTATATACAGAGAAATTCCCCATGGACCATACAGAAGTCACATTTCCTATAAGCAGTGGTTTCAAGGTAGAAAAAAATGACATACTGTACTTTTTCTCAGTTCTTACTTAATGAAATATTTGAGGTTTCTACTTTTTCTTCCAGAATATACCATTTCTTGAAGGCATTTAACTTTAATAATCAAGAAAGAATATCTAGAAATTCAAATATCACACATGAAACTCATGACAGTCTCAAATATGAGTTATTTACACATAATGTAATACTTTGAAGACAAAATTGGTATAAGCCAAAAAACAGATAGTATAAGGAATTCCTGGATGGAAGTTAATGTGTCATGTAACTAGAAGTTATGTGGAGGTTATTGTCATTCCTTCCAGCCTGTCACAAGAACGAACAGGAAGTCTGGAAGGAAAACGCAACCACAGAGAACCAAAGATAACATAGTCTAATCCATTACTGGATTGCCTTGAAAATGTCAGTCTCAGTGAATAAGTGGATCCAACTCAAAAACAGAAGAACTTTCCTTCCTTTTGGGACTCTTTGACTTGTCTTTCATACCTGCATTTTTATTAAAGATTCAAGTTCAAAGCCTGCGGGCCTTGAACCTAAAAAGAATTCCCCGTCTTGCTCTGAATTCTCTCACTATTCCTAACACTTTCACATAGGCCAATGGGATGTGGCTTTTCTAAAGCCACATGTTCATCATCATGATAAAAGGAGGATGATGATCATGATAATAGTAGCTACTATTAATTGATCCCTTACTATGATCAGGACTTCAGGTTAAGCAAAGCCACTGTTCACCTTTATGGCACTTTAAGATACTTTCATTGGTGAATGTAGTCTACTCAGGGGCTTGACTAGAAAAATTCAGGCTGGACTTCAGCCTGCATTTACCATCTTGGCCAAGTGCCCTTGTGCAGTGGACAACCTGCACAGCGATTTGTGTTGTGTTAAAGCATAACTCTAGAAAGGAGGACACCGAAGCACAGTAGTTAAATGAGTCGCCCAGGACCATTCAGCTGGTAAGTAGCAGATTCTGGACTTCAACACAGGTCTGGCCCAAAGACGGTGCCCATATCCCATCAACTAGGCCTATACTAGAGAAAGTTTCGGGCACAGTCCCATATGATCTATTATAATAGGGAGTAAACAAGGCATCCGGCACACTGGTTCAATAAATTATGATTGATTAAAGACATTCCAAATTACAAGGAATCTTAAAACAGGACAGAGAATGAACTATTGAACTTTTATGCTTTCAAGATAAAGGGGGTTGTTTAACTACAAATATTATTGTTTTTTATGATGCTGCTTTACTAAGCATGAGATTCCACTTTGCATCATGTCTAAGGCTCTTTAGGATTGGTCTCTATGTGTATCTCATACCTTGTCTTTTGCCTCTCCTCCCTGCTCCCTTCTAAGTTCCAGTCACATAGAATGAGTGATAGTTTCAGAATGCATTTCACACCCCTTCCCTCAGCTTTAGTCCTTTGCCATCTTTGTTTTTTTTTTTTAGCACCTTCACCTGCATAACTGCTACTTGTCCCTGAGATTTCAGTTCAGACAACATCTACTCCAGGAAGTGTTCCTATTTGCTGCATCCCAGCTTAGAATAAGTGCCTTTTAGTGTGTTCCAACAAGACCCTGTGCATGGCTCTGCCCTAGTATTTATTCCAATATAGTCTAATTCCATACTCATTTGCCTACTGTGTTCCTCTACATCTCAAAGATTGAGACTGTCTTATTTTAATTTTTAGCCTCATCACCAGACATGTGTCTAGTACATGGTAGGTATTCAGTAAAGCCATTTTGAAGAAAAGAATAAGAAAGTTAATGAATGGTGAAGGGCATTAATGAAAAGCAGAACTCAGTCTGTCCTAACAAGAATTACATGAATAAAGGCTGGGGGCAATGGCTCATACCTGTAATCCATGCATTTTGGAAGGCCAATGCAGGAGTGCTGCTTGAGCCAGGAGTTTGAGATCAGCCTAAGCAACATAAGGCAAGACCTAGTCTCTACAAAAAAATCAAAAAATTAGCTAGGCATGGTGGCATGTGCCTGTAGTCCCAGCTACTTGAGAGGCTGAGGCAGAAGGATCTCTTGAGCCCAGGAGGTCAAGGCTGTGGTGACCTGTGATCATGCCTGGGCAACAGAGTGAGACCCCAACTAAAAAAAACGAGTGCTCTAAATCAGACAATTCCTAGTAATACAAAGCAAAATACTGAAATAATAATGCTCTTGATATTGATTGTCAATGTATACTCATTCATGAGTTTGTGCTTTCTGGCCTCTGCTATCACAATACTAGCCACCATGTGGCTTCTCAGAAGATGGGAGATGCTTCTCACCATGGAGGACTCTGATCAAATGTCACCTAGAAGGTTCAAGCTCTTTCCTGACCTCTTAAGTGCATGCACACCAGGCCCACAAGTCATTTACTCCCTATTCTATTTTCATCATAGCCCTTATTACTATTGTAGCAATATATTTGATGTGTATTTTCAGTTTTTAGCTTTAATTTGGAGTTGACACTGGAACAGCCAATTGAACAGTCATTGGATCCAAAAATAAAAAGTAAAAAAGTTGCCTGAGCCCGCGGGTTCGAGACCCGCCTGGGCAACTTGGTGAGACCTCATCTCTACAATAAATCAAAAATTAGCCGGGCGTGGTAGCGCGCACCTGTAGTTCCAGCTACTTGGAAGGCTGAGGCAGAAGGATCGCCGGAGCCCAGCAGGTGGAGGCTACAGTGGCCAGGAGTGGCCACTGCACTCCAGTCTGGGTGACAGAGTGAGACTCCAACTCAAAAAAAAAGTAAAAAAGAAAGCCAAACTGGCCTTAAAGAACTTTGTTTATGAAAACGATACATTTCATTATTCCTATCCTGCAAATATACCATCAAACTGGCCATCCTTCTGTCTGAGTTAGTTATTTTGAGCTACATTAGAAAAAAGAAATGATAGCATAGGAAGGACAGGTTGTGTTCATATGGTCAAACAGGCACTGTCCGTATTTTTTCCAAAGCAATGGAACAACTGCAATCCTTTCAAAATGCTATGAAAATTGAAGACAGCTGAGCATGGTGGTTCAAGCTTGTAATCCCAGCACTTTAGGAGGCTGAGGTGAGAGGATTGCCTGAGTTCAGGGGTTCGGGACCAGCCTGGGAAACTTGGTAAGACCAAGTTTCTCGTCTCTAAAATAAATAAATATAAACAAATAGAAAATTAAAGATAAATGTATATAAGTAAATATTGTCCTACTCTGATTTGAGTTTTCCATTGCTCTCCCTGCCAAAATCAGATGTTTTCATATGAATTTGAAGAGTGAATTTTATGTAGTTGATAAAAGGAATGAAATTCTTCAGTTCAACAGCTAAACTTCTGACAATATAATGAATCTTCTTTTAAAAAGCCTTAAGATATAATTCACATGCCATTAAATGGCTTTTAGTATGTTCACAGTTATGCAACCATCATCACAGTTTTCGAACATTTTTATCACCCCCAAAACCAGCCCCACATCCCTTAGCAATCATCCCCTAATCTACCCATTGCCCCTAGGCCTAGGCAACCATGAAGCTACTTTCTATCTCTGTAGAAGTGCTTATTGCAGACTATTCATATAAGTGGAATCATGTAACATGTAATATAATGGGCCATCTAATTCTATGATTATGTGTACTCATGTACATTCAATATAAAATGAATCCATTCATTCAACAAATATTTAAAGACTCCATGCTATTTGCCAGGCACTATCTTAGGTGCCTGGTGATTCAACAGTGAACAAAGCAAAAACGTTGCCAGGGTAGAGCTTTCCGTTGAATGAGAAAGACATTAATCAGATAAACACCCACAACAATCTACAAGTGATAATACCTGATATAAAAGAAACATACCATGTGCTAGGAGAACTGATGGGTGAAGCCACTCTTGTCTGGGTTTGGGGAAGGCTTCCCCTAAAAAAGCAACATTGGAGTTCAAATATGGCATGGTCAGTCATTGACTAGGCAAAGAAGAGAATATGGAGAGAAGAAAGAGTTCGTGTGTTCCAGAGGGCGGAAATAGCTTGTACTAAAGAGCTGAGTAAGTTTGCCTTTGCAACTTAGTGCTATGGCATTAGGAAATGCATTTTGGAGCGCTGCATTGACTTTTGCAGCCAAACAGCTAAATATACTTAGTTTATGATTATTTGTAAAGCTATATTGCTAACAGTTCATGTGTCATAAAACATAGAAATTTGTTTTTTATTACCTAGTTACTGGCAAAATCAAAATAAAGCTTATGGTATACTAGATATTTGGGGCCGAACTTTCAAATTGTTCTAAATTGGTTTGGTCATTCCAACATAAGGAACAGAATACCATGAAACAAATATGCCTAGAAGCATAGAAAGCTGGATATCCGGATGAACCTTAAATACTGCTAACCAGATGTTCTTTGTGTGAACAATTCCTTATGAAAATCTCGATGAGGCCTTTCAACACTTTTCCATTATTATATCTGAACTATGCATTCTTTTAGAGACAAAAGAGGAAATGTTAACCAAATTCATAATTTATTAGCCCACTTTCCAGAGACACTTACTGTGTTCTGGCATACTGTACAATTCTGACTCTTGATCACTTGCCAAATAATGGAAAATAAATGGCTTGATCATTCTGTTACCTTCAACAGTTGTAAATCAAGATGGCCAGCCTCTTATAGAAGGAAAACTTAAAGAGAAGCAAGTCAGATGGAAGTTCATCAAGAGGTGGAAAACCCGTTATTTTACGTTGGCTGGAAACCAGCTTCTATTTCAAAAAGGAAAGTCTGTAAGTTTTGCTGTCATCTTTTACACTTGCACTATTAAGGTCTTGATCTCTACCAACCAGCTAAGCATTTTGCCTTGAGTTGAAACTGATCGGTTTCTCCTTCTCCATTCTACAATAACAGCAATATTTTATTACATATGTCCCCCTTGTCTAGTCTGTTCATTCCTGTTAGTTAGTTCACTGTCCCTTTCCAGTTTATTTGGAAACCTGTTTTAGTTGACTTTAGTTTTCAAAGATGAACTGCAGAGGGATTGCATGGTGGTCTTGACTCAAACACTGTACCTTTTGCTTCCTTGTGGAACACTTACATAAATTTATGACTTATGATATTGACTGATTTTTCTATGATTATATGTTATTTTTAGATGCAGTGGCTCATGCCTGTAGTCCCAACACTATGGGAGGCTGAGGCAGGAGGACTGCTTGAGTCAGGGGTTCGAGACCTCATCTCCTCACATACTCACATAGCACGACCTCATCTCCACACACACACACACACACACACACACACACACACACACACACACACACACAAAACAACTATAGGTTATTTTTGGAGATAGGGGTCCAAAGAAAGGGTCCCAAGAAGGATACAAAGAAGGGGTCCACAATAGGCAGGGAGGAAGAAGGCTGATTTATTTTAAGTACCTTTTATGGTCACCAAAGTTCAGTTCTGATTAGGGAAAAAAATATTACTATCTTCCATTTAATATTCAGCTAATGAATAGAATGTAATTCTAATAGAATTAATATTCACTTAATATCATTTTCAATTTGAATAGGATGCTCAGTAATTATTCATATTCTGAATTTTCAGTGAGAAATTCCATTCTATTTAACCAATAATGCAAAGTTAAGTCCTTCTTTTCAAATCAATATTATTTATCATTAAACTCTGTTCATTCAGAGTCTTGACCTACCTCATGGCTATTTTGAAAAGTAATCATAACAGCTAGCATTTTTTTTTTTTTTTTTTTTTTTTTTTT